GATGTGCTCGCACAAACGCTCGAAGGCTTCGTGCAACCGCTCATCTGTGTCAGATACCACGATACCATTCTGCGTGCTCTTGATGTAGCTGCACATCTTATTGAGGTCTTCCATCAACTGAGGGGTAAGCCAGCCTCTCAGGAACTGGAATCTGCCTGTCCACGAGCGCAACCGAGCTGCTTGCCTCTCCGCGCGGTTCTTAATGAACCCACAGAACTCGAGCCATGCTGCCTCGGCGGCTTCTTTCGACAGGTCTTTCCTCGTCGGGCAAGGCTTATAGTAGCCCTTACTCAGAAGGAATCCACAGAACACGATGGTATCAGTAGCAAACACGGTCTTTTTGTCATTGACATGGAAACCGTGTGATGTAAATATAGAGCTCAACTCCGCGAGAGCCAGGTTCACAGCATCAGCACTGGCACCACATACAAGTAAGTCATCTTGATAATGTCTCACTACCACTCCTTTAGGAAGTCTTCCACGGATGGTATCGAGGATGTACTGGACCGCTCTGCTGAAATATATAGGACTCCATGTCCATCCTTGGACAAGACGTGTAAAACGCCAAAACACAGAGGTTCCATCGTCAGCTTGAGTTCTTGTGCTGGCCAGTCTCCTGATTCCATTGGGAGTCTCTATGGCATAAAATGCCTCGCTTAGGTCGATTTTGGCGAAGAAATTGGCACACTCCTCAGGTATGGATCTCAGGATATCTTGAGCACTCGATTGGTGCTGTCTCTGGTCCGTTGGTTTCACCGTCCGGACCCTCGATGCCATCGCATTAGGTAGCCACATGAACTCCTTGCTATCAGTAGCCAGGACCATTTGATTCACAGGTCTCATATCTAAGGTAACTCTATATCGGGCCTTCAACTCGTCCGGGTCAATTGGGTACATTCTTGGCCTATCTCCGGCATGCTGATGTTTGTCAACCAATACTGGTTCAAGTTGTACTACTGCTTCACCGACAGGAACTCTCTCTACCTTCTCCTCCTTCTCCATCTGTAAGAAACGGTGGTGGAGGATTCTCATATCAGTGTAACTGCGCGGCCTCACCGATTCCGAATAGGGCATTATGCCGGCTTTCTCGATTTGGGGCACCTTTAGTCTCAATCGAGTTTGACCGGTCGAATCTTTCACCGTCTCAAAGGTATAGTCCACATCGATCGTCTCGTCATCTGACCCATATTTTAGTAAGGTAGATTCTACCGCATGGCATGCCACCATAGATACAACCGACATTGTCCTCGGGACTTGGCTGTATTGATAAAAGTTACCACCATCCACTGCTGATACGGATATATCTAAGACTCTCATACCCGGTCTGCCAACGACCAGTGTATGTTGGCAGGTATCAGAGATAAGGCAAGGTAACCATTTCGTATCATGGACGGAATCAGCGTTTGGCCGTATGGGTAAACGCACCGCACTAGTGCAGCTCGCCTTGTCCCCATTGGCATAAGTAACCACTACACCTCGGATGCTGCAGATGTCCTCTCGTGACAAGATCCCATGCTTTATGAGGAGTTCAACCAGGCGGATGTGCACGAAGCATGCCCCCGCTCCGCTGTCGACGAGAGCATTTATATGCACACAATCAGCGGTCTTCTCTGCAAGGGGTTTTTCGCCCACTCGCAGTGATATCGTTAGGGCATTCGAGTCAACAAAGTCATTTATCCGACCTTCCACTATAGCCTCTTCATTGCATATCTCGATAATCGACGCAGCTGAGTCGATCCTCTTCTCCTTCGGCTTCCCCTCATCCGGCGTGTTTTGAATACTCCCCCTGCCGGTCTCGCTCTTCGAGTGTGAAGGTGTGGTACCGGGGCGCATCTTAGCCCAACATACCTGTGCCGCATGACCAGCTCGCCCGCATCGCACGCATTTCGTCTCCTTATGCGTGCAGTCTTTCCTGCGGTGGCTATAATCACCACATTTCGAGCATCTTCTCTCTTTATCTCTAATAGCATTCGACCAGCATGAGTTTTCGGTATGGTTTTTGGCACCACATCGTCGGCAATGTGCCACATTGCCTGATACGTCCAAGTTCCCACCACCAGAGCTTTTCATACTTTTCAAAATTCCACCACCAGGGTCTTTCATATCAGCGGTCATAAGCTGTGTCCTCATCACCGGCTTCTGTACTGCCGGTGAGGACTTACCAAAACCAGGCAATGTTGAGCATGCTTCGAAGGACTGAGCATAACCACATACCATCTGAACATATTGTGTAAAAGAGAGGTGTGTCAAGGGATCGACCATGGCCCTCGCAGCCACGCCTGCCACCGAGGTGAGTCCATTGCCAAACTTCTCCTTCTTCATTTCCATTGTAAGATCGCTTCTCCCAGCGTCCTCCTGCAGTAGTACTGCTTCTTCGAAGCGTTGGTTGTACTGCTTAACTGTCTCCGACGACTGTTGGCGCAGGGTTTCCCACTCATGAAGTGCTGACCTCCGTGCCCTTAGGTTGTCGTACTTGTCATCCAGTATCTTCAGCAGAGTCTGATATCCCTTATCGGAGTCCATCCCATAGATTTTCGCTTTGGCAGCCTGCTGTCTGGCATACTTTTGTGCTGGTCCTCGCAAACTCAGAAAGACAAACTCCATCTTGGCTGCCTCCGACACGAAAGGGGTACACGATAGGGCGCTTTTTAGAGTGGTAATGAAGGATATATATTTATCACCATCACCATCAGAGGTACCAACACCACAGGATTTGATCAGCTGTTCTGCTCGTCGAGTAGATCGATAATATGCGGTGTCTTCCGTCACGGTCCCAGCTAGTTTACGGGGATCATGCTCAGCCTCACTTTTGGTGGTCACCGAGTCAGTGGTCTTCAGCTCCTTGTGAGATGCTGTCTCCATGACGTTTCTATATACCGTCACAGCCGACTGGACCTTAGCACATAACTCACGCCGTCCACGAAGGGCTAAGCCGCCCTCAGTCTTTGTGCCAATGTCCGCTACTGCCCACATAAGTGATGGACGTAACCAGCCACCAGCACTCTCTTCACCGGCTACCATTCTCTCTTCGGGATACGGATAGACCAACTCATCATACACCCATTCCAAACCAGATAACCATAGCTCAGCCAATGCGGGACCATCCGACGCTCCTTCGACATCTCTCTTGAAGGTATCGTTTTGTACGAGGCTTGCTTCTATGGCCTCCCCGATACTCTCGAGTCGGCTTAGATATCCAAAACCTCTGTTCTCGTTGATGGCCTTCTCCATGCTCCTTACAGTAGACACTAGGCGATTTCTCGGCACAGCCCCAAAGTTTGATAATATGAATCGCCTTGCATCCGTACTCTCAGAGGAATCCAACGCCGACATACTGGTTGATACCGTATTATAATGTAATGGATAAAAACCCACGAGAACGACTGCGTCACGTCTCTCATCGAACAATCCATATAGCTAATGAGGCGAGCGATACAACAACAGAGATCGACAATATGATGATGTAAGCCTCCGTACACTACTATCATCGGTATCATCATATAAAGTTAAAGCTCATATAAAATTGCGTTATTATCATCAATACGGGGTTATTCAAATAGAGGAACAATCCTCTACAGTAGGCTTAATGACGCTCATAATATCATTCTCATCTTTCGATAGTTATTACTTCGAACACTAAAGGAGGTTGAACGAAGGTACCCGACTCAACGACGATCCAAATCTAAAACTCTCAAGGGGCTTCAGTAGCCTCGGATGCCATCCGACGGATGGAATCGAGGGCAATATGGGTTGCATTGAGTGCGTCTAGTTCCCCGATGTCGGATAGATTGAACTGATTGGGTACACCAATTTTCCTAGATGCAACAATAGCATTGGTGATGTCCTCACCCACTAGACCAAGTGTAGCGAGTAAGGCGGCGACACCGGCAACTGTGGCCGCCATCGATGTGCCACTCATATAACCATAAGTGTCAACAGGAATCGTCGAGTAGATGTCTACACCAGGAGCGGCAACCTTTGTAACCGAGCCAGCGTTCGAGAAGTCAGCTAGAGTGATGCTCTCGGATGGGTTGGAAGTACTGGCAGCAACACAGATCATGGATGGGATATTGTTCGCGAGGGAACAAGGATAGGTTGGGTAGGTTTCGAGACTCGCCCCGTCATTGCCGGCGGTAGCAACAGCGATATGTCCAGCAGCGGCGGCATTCTCGAATGCAATTCTCACGATATCACTTGGGGAGTGTCCGCCATAAGAATGGGAGGATACTGTAGCCCCATTCGCAACCGCGAAGTTGAGAGCCCCCACTAGGCCGCTAGCATATCCCCCTGCGTGGGCATCGAGGAACTTCAAGATCATTAGCTTCACCTTGGGTGCTGAGCCGTTGATATTCGCCACTCCCGCAATGCCAATGCTGTTATTAGTGTGGGCGGCCGCATTGCCAGCACAGTGAGTACCATGCCCATTGTCATCAGTAACATCGGTACTGTTCGTGATGAAGTTATACCCGATGGAGCCATCTTTCGGGTTCTTCCAGAACTGACCAACCAGATCCGGGTGGGTCATGTCAACTCCAGTGTCACTGATGGCCAGCACGATATCCTTCAGTTCGCGCTTAGCTTCGCGAGCATAACGCCAGGCTTGTCCGATGTTGATGACCTCGAGGTTACGCTGGCAAGAAGAACCGGGGTCGTTGGTGCCAAGAACGGGATTGCCGCCAGTACAAGTTTTTGATGCCTCAATCGGCCCGTTGATCGGGTTAATGGAGACCGCAAAGTCGGGCTCGCAGTAGAATTGGATGCCTAGCATGGCTCTAGCCTTCCTCAAATAGTTCAGAATTTGCTCGTAACCAACCGAGCATGTAGACTCTACAATTTGGACACCTACAGCTTTCAAGTCGTGGATCATGCCATCCAGCGCAAAGCATCTTTCGCACTCACGGTCGTCTTGGCTGAGGAACCTTGCTCCTTCACCAGAGACTGCAGCGGCCTGTGATATCATAGTTGGCACGAGACGAATGTCAAGCGGGGCTCCACGATAAGATATCTTAAGCAGTGTGCGGTCGGAAGCACTTTCACCACAGGTTATGACATATGCGAGCAGCGTCGATAAGAATGCGGAGCGTTGGAACATGGATCTATCGAATGGGACTCCTGAGGATCAATTACGTATCCCACAAAGTACGATTTTTTCAATCACATGAATCTGATATCCAACTTGAAGCTTGGGCTACGCCAGCTATGGCGTGCGACACGTGCTGGGTGACGTGACGTACCTTGGTCAGCACGTCACCGTCCCAGACGTCTCGATCCGTTCCGGGGAGATTTTGGTTACTTTTGAGTTTACATTCATGTCACTGTCTAGCTCGTCAGTTACGAGGGATAGCTCAGATGAGGGTGCTGCCAACGTAAGGCTTCTTATCTTATCCATTTCAGCCTGAGGGCTGCGAGCCGTTTCATGCAACGAATAATGGGCGAGCGGGATTCGTGCATACGCGCGCGAACACGTCCTCCCAAGATAGTTACTAATTTAATGATTGTAACTCCGGAACTTCTTGTTCCGCCAGAGATACGTGATACATCACTCCTCGCTTCCCCAGTACTCAAGTCATTACCGTAATAGATGCCATAATCGACAGGCAGAGTAGTAGAGACATTAGGGGGAAAAGGTGCAATGATCAATGGCGTGACGCCCTTCTTCTTGGAGACAGCACGCATGTCATTGCATGGAGTCACCGAGAGCAAGTTCGGTGGAAAAGTAAAGACATACAACTAATAGCATTGTCGTGGTGACTAAACAAGATACTATTTATTGTCTCTTGGGTCTAGGATAGGAGTGACAATGATAGTAGTGCAAATATCGAAAGTGTTATACTGTTATAAAAGATGGGGTATCATTGAATTACGGGCAGCGGTGTTCCTCCCTATGAGGACTCGGGTAACTAGTGGGAGTAACCGAGGTACCATGGGTTGACT